TCCTATTCAGAAACAGATATTAATACTCTAACACTTTGATTTTTTTGTGTGGATCAATTTCATAGCTTTATTGCTGTCAGAGCCCTGTTAACATCCAGACCCTACAAAATACCCATGAAATCTGTATTTAGGTGTTATGTGTTTGGTTTTTTTTTAATTTTTGTCATGTACTCACTGAAGAGCTGAGATATTAGCCTTTGGCTCACAATATTTCTTGGCCTTCTTGCCCTCAACCTTAAACTTCTACTTTTATTCATGTCTGAGCCCTACTGGGCAAATAGAAAAAAAAGGAACAGAAGAAAAATTCCTTAAATATGCACTCTCTTTCTCTACATATTTAATGATCAAAGTAATGTTTACCAAAGAAGCAAAAAGAAAGTCAGTAAAATCTAAATTGCTCAATCTGTAAATGAAACATGTATCCTGTCTTCTCAAAAGCTACTACGTGCCAATGCCAGCTCTCATTTAGAAGTATTTGTTTTAATTAATCAATTCAAATAATCCCTTACAGCAACTTTGCAGTACATCCAGAGGTCATCTTCAGGAAGCTGGTTCTTACACAGTGCACAAGGAAGCAGGAGGCTGTGAAAGGTCCCAACTCTTGCCATAGCCAAATGGTGACAATTCAAGCTTGCAGGAGAGAATAGAAGTGTGTGCTGGGTGGGTCAGCTAGTGGCTGTAGTCCACAGGGGACTGTCACGGCTGCATTACTTTAGGGATGACCACAATTGTATGATTTGGCCCATAATGGCTGGTTTATTCTCAACCAGTTCAGAGACATGAGACGTTATTAGGAATAAGCTGTAGACAAGGTATAAAAGTACTCTGAAGGAGGTTGATTTATCCTAGTAGGAAGAAATTATCTTGTGCAAACCTAAATTAAAGTTTATGGCTTAATCACAACTTGGCCCTAGGGTTTTGCTTGTTCAGAAGAACAAGCTATATAAACTGTTAGTTCTTTGACACTGTCAAGAATTAGAAGTTCTCAGACATCTGTTTTTTTGAAGAAGTGATGCTAAGGAAATAGATACATTACTATCTGGAGCACCATTTGCCCAACAAGCAGGGGGTAAACATCTGAGCTTAAAGGACATGGTGCTGGCTGTCAGAACCCACTGCAGATGTCAGGCTGATATCAGGAAAGCACTTCAGTTCACCCTCAGCTTCCAGCTTGGATGGCAGCTGTTCAGTGCATTTGAGGGGCAGTCAGACATGGTATCTGTTCATCGTGAGGTGGTCACAGTCAGACATTTGACCTTATTGAGGTCAGAAGCGATGACCAGCAAGCAACCTACCCTCTCTCCTGCCACTACAGGTGGGGAACAGGGGGATAATGTGGTTGCACAGCTGCTGTTGCTCCCCTCAGGACTGGCCTGAGAGGTTTCATACTGGCTTCACATGACTCCTTCACAAAGGCTAATGCCTCGCAGGTGTGTGAAGTACTGGAAACACAAAGAGGCAAGGACATGGTCTGCCAGAGCTGTCTGTAGCCATTACCCTTATTTTTGATCCATGAGACAGCTGGAATCAATGTAACAGTCCTTTGAGCAAGAGAAAAGTTGCTCAGTACTGTTACAGTGGTGGAGGACATATATCCATAGGAGCTCCCCAAAAAGACACAGCATTAAGCTATAGCTTAGAGCTCTGCCTATGACCTGTGTGGCATGGTCTCAGGCACTGAAAAGAACACAAGGGAAAGCAAAACCACTTGGGGTTATTGGAGCAGCATGGGGAATATCTCACTCCAGGCATCTTGCAGAGGCAGCGAGTGACCCCACACCCAGTCAGACTTCTTGCCAGTAGCTTGGTACCTTTGCCATACTGCAACCCCCTTTTAAGACCATGTCTGGATTGGTACCAGAGCACTCAACACCTCAGAACTGAGCTCCCTCTGCATTAAAAATATCATTCATATTTTTTGTAGTTGATGGAAACAACAATGAGAAATCCAGGACACAGGCTATCAGATAAGACATGGTGGTAGGGCAGGACTACCAACAAAGCCTTTCTAGGAAGGCAGATGACACCAGAGCTGCAGGTGTGGCATCCAGGCAGCCCCTCTTGCCCATGCAACCGCCCAGAGTGCTGCAAAGCCATGGAGCTGGATGGCAGCTCCAGCTCCCTGCTCACAGCCCTGATGGGGCTTACATTGCGACAGGAAGAAAGGAATAGATGAGCTGCATTGGCTTTCCACAGCTTTCCAAGAAAAGAGAGGACTGGGTCTATAGATTTGTGGTGTCAGTGCTATATGATAAATATTCAGTAGTGACTTTAAAAATCTTTATTAAACTTGCACCTACTGAATGAGGCTATGATAATGTAAAGCAGCAGAAAAACAAGCCAACATCTCTTTCAAAAGCTTTGGGTTTACCACCTTGTTCATAATCACAGTTACAACTGCAACTACTTTGAAGGAGTCAGTAAAATACGGCCAGTTAATAGTCACAGTGAATATCTGCTGTTTAGATCAATGGTCAGCTTCTCTAGTCATTTGTCAGAATTACTCTTATCCCACAAATCCCCACACTTTTGCTAAAGGACAGCAGCCCTGTGGAAAAAAGGCTGAAGGATCTCTATCTTTTTTTATTAGGACTTCCATACACACTTTTAAAATGCTCAGTGAGTGTCACTGCCCAGCAGTGTGAACAGCCATGAAGTCCACCTGCTCAGCTGTAGTTGCTAAGGAGAAGCCACACTGACAACAGCCTATTTTCTTTTTCAGCCCACTTTGGAACTGACCATCAGTGCTCTTGTGTAAACATCAAAATCTGTGTCAATTAACCTCATGCATGTCAACAGATCATAACATCTGCCCAGTGCTGTAACTGATCTGTACAACTTTCCACAGAGTATTTGTGTCTTCATTTCCCACTCTGCCTCACCATCATTTCAGTCCTTTGGCCCTGGGTCCCCGATCATCTCCTTGTACAACACAGAAGACACTCATGCATCACATGTGTGGCACGACAGCAGATTGTGTAGCTTGGTTAAATCTTTTATAAAAAAATTCTTTGAGAAGAAGACAATGCCAAATCTTTGCCTCACTGACAGATGACCCAACCCTATCACTGATTTTAGCAAAAACAATCACTGATTTTTCACCATACCTTATATATAAAAATATGGATTCTGGATTACTGCATATGCACAGACAAAAGAGGGAAAGGGCTTTATGAAAGGACACTAACCTGCTTGATATCAGAAGCTATTTTTAAATTTACACAATAAAAGATACAAACTCCTAGTCATCTTCCTCTCTTAAATATTTATTATTCTCTACCTGGAAAAACAATTTTGATTTTCCACTTCCCTGAATATCTTTGTTAAAATCTCCAGCAGTCTGCTAATTCCACATACCTTGTACACAACACAGAAATGCTGTTTCCTGAGCTAATCTGTTTGTCAGATAGCTTGTTTTCAAACAATTAGCTACATCAGGATTTCTCCATAGCAAATCAATTGCTAATAGCTTTGGCTTAGCCAGATATGAGCTTTAGCATGATGATACACTTCTCAAAAGAAATCACAAAAAATGGCCAGTAGCTGTTACAGTAAGCTTCTCAAAAATAAGTTACAGTTGCCATACCATGTAGCCCTTTGATTCTCATTTTGTTTATCCTTTACCCTGTCAGTATATTCCCCCAAAATAGAGTGAGACAGACATGCTCCATTTACTTGTCTTTGGTAAATTGTAATTCCTTGAAAAACCTCTTTGAAGTTGCTGCTTATCAATGTGAGGAAGACTGGCAAGTCTAGCCCAGTCCCAGTGTAAGCAAGCTTAAATTAAAAAAGGCAAATAAAACAGAAAGAGCAAATAAAACCATATGCTTATGACAATAACCCAACACTTCATGCAACCTATATTGCACAACCAGTCCAGGTCAGTCTTACAAGATTTATAAACTTTAACCATGCTACATTTGGGTAAGGAAGAAAGCAGTACTCATAAGACAAGTGCCAAGCCTAGGCAAAAGCTGTGTTTTCTGAATTTACAGCATGTAAAGTCTTCTATACTTTCCATGAGTTTGTCCAAATACTGTATTTCCTCTTTTAAGAAAAAACTTTAGGAAACAAATTTATTAAGGCTGCAGGAACCACATGCCACTGAAAAAAATAATTGAAATACTTCCCCTATTTCATGAAGTGATCTCTGAAGAGAAGCCACCCACCTCTAAGATTAAATGGGAGCCATGGTAATGGTGGCAGATTTGTGCACCACATGTGACACCAAGCATACAGTATGCAGTGGTGGTTAAGAAAACTGGTTAGAATCAATCCAGTTACCACAGCTTAATTAGTACTCTAATTACTCCTGATTAGTATGAGTCCCCACGATGGACAATTTTAATTCTTTGACTAAGGCAACTGCAAAAGTAGTGTGTTAACTTTTACCTGTTTTCATTTTGTGAAATATTTATAAACAAATACAAGCACTTGACTTCTCACAAGTAATCTCATGACTAAGTTTTGCATAAAATTATTACAATAGCCCTCATGTAATGTTTTCAAGCAATTACTTGCAAATACACTATCAGTTGAAGGCCATAAACATTTACCCAGTGCTGCTAGCCATTCCAGTGGCAAATTTAATTTTTTGTGCTGATCAGTCCAAGAAAAGTCATGACTTTTATCCCCTAGTAATTTTATGTAAAGGTTTCATGAGCCCGTGAAAGAAATTGCAGGAAGTCTGGACATTTTTCTCAGTAGCCATGTGAATTTGCTTCTGTGCTCACTGTAGAAGAACTGATTTATAAGCACGACCAAGAGCGTTGCATGGGGGGAAGCCTTTGCCTTTGCAGGTCAGTTATATGCACTGAAACCATCATTAAACATACACAAGAAATTTCTATGTATGGACCAGAAGGTAAAACTAAGGCTATGCATGCACTAAAAGCATTCACATTAATGCCATGCTGTTTGCTTTTCCTAAACAAGGTATCAATGTTGCGTGGCCCTGCACTCAGAGAGGAGACGCAGTTCAAGGACTGACAATACATAAATTTTTTAAAACATTTTCTCTCTTTTTATTTGTTTTTCCTGATGGTTGCTACAAGCAGAGGAGGTATTCAGAAAAGTAACTGCACAATACAAACACAGGCAGCAAACTAAGTTGGTGGCATGAAAGGTGTATCTGAGAACACAGAGTTGACAGAATCAGAGTCGGATTTTGTTCGAGTAGTTTTTAAGATACTCTCAGTAATGATGCTGTCATTAGGAAACAGTTTTACTTTCCCATTCTGACTGTGTTTTGGTTCATGCACAGGTTCCAGAAAAGCTACCCGTTTACCAGTGCTAGCCTTCTTCTCGTCTGCTGGCATTGTAGAATTCAGCTCTTGCGGTATTGTAGAATTCAGTATGGAAGAGTGGGCACTGCTTTGGTTCAGCTTCCTCTTCTTCTTTTTCGCCTTACATTGACATGGGCAGGGAGTCAGATAGAGATACAGCAATACTAAAATAATACTGGCCACACAGGCAGCAAGGGTGGTAAAAGCTGTATTAAATGCTTCATGAGCATGGGACCTGTTCATTGTGAAATTGCTAACATTTATTCTAACCTCTACGGTTTCATTTAATAATCTTTTCTTATTTATTGCGATGCAGGAATACAGCCCTGAGTTCTCTAGCTGGGCATCTGTTATCTCCAGGCTGCCGTTAGGAAACACCTTAAAGTTATTGGTCTCCCTGTCTGGCTCCAGCAATCTATTGTCTGGACTAATCCAAACAAAGTGTGTGCCCACATCACTGATTCTGCTGTCACAGTGTACAATCAGCCTGTCACCAACTTGGGCATCATGAATAAACCCAAAGGCTTGGAAAGAGCTGTTGACAGTGCTTTCAGAGCAATTCAGAAAGTTGTCGAGCAGCAAAGGCAGTTTATTGTGACCTCCTGGGTCTGATTGCAACAAACAGCTGTACTCATTTTTGAAGTCCACCACTGAGCTGAACTGCCTTTGATACCAGAAGATTAGCATGGAGTACAGGACACAGTCACAATAAAATGGGTTGCCGTGAAGATAAATTCCACTAAGTTGTTTAGCTGGCACTGAACTCAAGCGCTGAATAGGCATCAACCGGATGTGATTAAAGGAAACATCCAGCAATACAAGGTCTGTCAGTTTATGTTTTCCAACATATAAGTCCAGTGGGAAATTTGAGAGCAAGTTGTAGCTTAAGTATAGTTTCTGTAAATTGTACAATCCTCCAAACGCTAAAGAGTCAATCTGTGTTATCTGATTGTTGTACAGCAGGAGAACCTCCAGTGCCTTTAGCTCCTGAAACACAGGGCTGCCCAGTGTCTTCAGGCTGTTGGATGACAAGTCTAGGTACTTCAGATTTGGAGTTGTAGAAAAGCTTCCAGTGACAATGCTGCTAATGCTATTATGATTGACTATTAAAGTGTTCAGTTTCTCAAATAACACTGGGACCCATTCAGGCTCCAAAAGCCCAATTCTGTTATAACTCAGATCCAGCCTTTTTATACATTTATAAAGATTTCCTGGCACTCGACTGAGGTTCTTATTGGTGCAGCTTATGATATCACTGGCACAGATGCAGGCTGTTGGACACATCCCTGGGGCACTGCCACAAATGCTTACTGTGAAGACCAAGAGGCATGCGAGTCCTTTGCAGTTCACTTTAAAAACTCCAAGTTGAGTAGGAATTGTCCGCCTGTTTAAAGACATTGTCACTGTCTCTTAGCTGTCTCCCAGAGCTCCTTCCCACAGATTATACGTGCAGTTAGTTTTGCACCAGTTGCTGTCAAAAGAGGGATACAGAGGTACAGCATGTTAACATTTATCATTCATACCCTGATTGATTTCTTACACATGTCTTTTGAAAAATACAGGGAATTAATCCTTAGTGTTTCACATAATTAATTGTAAAATATAATTCTTAGGTGATGTAAGCATAACATTGTCTTTATATAAACATGAAATTCTACATTCATGTGTAAAAATATACACTATAGATGCAGTATTTTTTGTCTTCAAAAAGAATGCAACTATTCTTCAGTCTTGGATCAAGTAATGCAATTTCTGACAGTTCATTAAAAAAAAAATCAAAAATGTTCCTCTGTGGAACATGACTTGGTAATGGTATCCCCTACCTGTTTCCAAACCAGCACAGACAGAAAATTCCCAGTACAGGAAAGAAAAAGCCTCATCTAAAAATGTTATTTTCTTGTCTAGTGGGAAGCAGTTATAATGTGTTTCTTTATGATCAGAAAATGTCACACATTTTCAAGAAAATTTTCTCAGACTTCTTAGCTTTAAATGTCATACAAATTTTTTTTTAATTCAGTAACTTACAGTTAAGGTATCAGCCTATTTTTAAAGATGTTCAATTAGAATATTTTGTATTCTCCATTTTGCTATTTGGCTACTTCTACCTTTGCCAATAAGTGTTGAGGCAGAAATCTTCTATGCCTGGTGCACACTTCAGACACAAGTTTTGGGAACTTTAAGTAAGAATGAGTCAGCTGTTTCTCAAAACTTAGTAAAGGAAAAAAATATTTTGCTCATATGTAAATAGTAAGAAAAAACCCAACCATACTCTTTTCTGAGACTATTTTAGAGTCACCGTGGTTTGAAGCAGGGACATAACATTTGGCACAGTAGTGATTCTGTGCTAAGGGACATGCTTTTTGCCATCTTCTAAGAAAATGTACACATACCAGCAGAGTAATGTTCTCTCTTGTTCTCCCTGGATACCTGTTACGAGTTTGCCAGTAAATTCACAGGTAAGTTCATCTGCATTGATTATTGTCACCCCTTCAGAGCTCAAACATGGTATTCAGCTCCCACGTACCCTCATATTCATTTCTCCAATCTCACCCACCTGTTGGAGCAGTATCTGAGCAGGACGAACCCTGTTATGCCTGCTCTGAGCTGCTGATAGTGGCTGTGGCCAGGAGCTGGGAGGCTTCCTGTGAACAGTGGGGGGAGGAGAAAAAAGCATCCTCAGATGGAAAGTGAAACTGTATTCTCTGATGATGCAAGATGGATGAAGAAAACACGAGTCTTGAGGACAAAAACATTAAAATCAAGACCTAAATGGTGGAGGGAAGCAGGGCAGAGAGACAGTCAAAGAAAGTGAGAGAAAAGAAGGGTAAGAGATACATAGGGAAGGTAGTGCAAAACCAGGGGAGGTGGATGCTAATGGAGCATCATCACTGTTACTAACGAAGTAACTGAGGAGGAGGTAGTTTGAGGATGCAGAAGTCAGTCAAGGCTTATGAGACTGGAAAAGCAGATGAAGAGGGTGTAAAGAGGACTAAGCAGAAGAGAGGCAAGAGATTCAGGAGGTGAACCTTAGACCACACTTCTCCAGAGAATTTATATCTGCTACTTATGAACCTAAAATTACCTATGCAATTTATTAATACGTGCAAAATGCAAACATTTCCACTCCCCCTCAGTTCTTTATTTCCCTTGCCTCTAACCCTCTGCCAATCTGGCAGGCTGCTCAGTAGCTGGCAGGCTACTCTTAAGTCAAGTGGTAGAAGATGTGCTATGAAACTAAAGAGCTGAACCTTCTAATGACCCATCAAAAGAAGAAATATGAAGGCAGCAGGATGGGAGAATTCACCTTTCACAACAATTTATATATACATTGGCATTAGATGTTTGCATTCCCAAAAAAACACCAAGAGAATGGCAAGACTGCCAAGTCAAGTGCTCAGAAATTAAGGTGTCGAAATTAAGGTTTCCTTGCCATTTTTGATTTTTATATACAGTCTTTGGTTATGTGATAGTTTTAGTCTAAGCCTTCCTCGGTGATCAGTTTGTAACCAAGGAAGTGGCCATGTTCCCAGTATTCCATATGATTTTTATGCAAGCCAGGGTATAAATAAGAAGGAGAGAAAACCCTTTTCCCTCTTCCCTTCTGGTGGATCTAAAGGTACAGGTTCTCTGCTGTTGGTCCTGCTCATGTGGGGGAGTCAGGCCTAGTGAGCCCTTGTAGGCTGCGGGAGCTGGAGGGTGCTGGCGGTCGTTTGGCGCGATTCTGCTATTTCAAGGAGAGTAGTAAGATTTTCTTTTGCTAGTTCTTTATTGATTGTTATCGTGCATACCTGCTTCTGGTTTCTTTTGTGGTTTTGCCCCTTTTCCCCTTCCCTTCCCCTTTTTGGGGGGTTGTTTGGGGTTCTCTTTTTATATGTACATAGTATTGTAACTGTATATAACTGTGATATATGTAAATATACATATTTTGATATAGCTCTGTTAGTTTCGGATCTTTCAGTTTCTATAGTTTTTTTCCTTTGCCCAAAGGGGAGGGGGAGGTTTTTGCTGTAGTCTGGGGGAATTTGGAGGGAAGCCAACTCCAAATGGCTACAGGTTACACGATTGCTAAATTTTCCTCCAAAACCTTTCCTCACACTGTGCACAGGTTTTGAGGAAGAACAGGAAAAGAAAGGGTGATCACATTAGGAGCTCAGTAAATGCCTATATCTGAGAACTGGAGCATGTCCTAGCCTCTGCCACAAAATTCCTGTGAGCTCAGGCAAATTATGTAAACTGGTGACTGTTAGAAAGTAATGAACACATTAAAAGCACCAGCTTGGAACTTAGAAAATAAGGAACCTCTGTGTGTTAAGTTTGGAAAGGACTCATCTGAGATGCGAGTCAGAATGAATGACTCTAGCTGGCACTTCTGACTGCAAAGGCTTCTCCTTGCTTCCCTCTCTATACAAGGGATATAGCAACGTGATCTTAGCTATAGAAATATTGTAAAAATAAACCGATTGGTTTAAATGAAAGCTTAATATCAAGATTCATAAACTCTTCTAGGCTTTTACAGCCTACTGAAGCTTCTAACTGCATGGGGCTTTCAATGGGAAGCTGGGAACCCAGACGAATGTTTTTTTTTTAACAAGTCATTTAGTTAGTCTACTGTATGAAGCAAGGCATCTGAAAACGACATACCATAAAACCATGTGCGTGAAGACTGAATTATAAAGTATCCACACAATGGGAGATGTACTGCTGTTGCATAGGTTGCCTTCCCACTAACATTTGAATGCCTGATTCTGCAAGCTATGCAGCGTAACTTTTAATGTAACTGCACTTGGAACAAGATGAACAGCACTTTCAAAAATCAGTTCCCATGTTGAATATAACTGCGATCCTAGAGATACTCCCAATGGGATATACTAGGTCAATGCTCAGGTTTGGAAGGGTTACCAAGTTTAATACACTAGATAACCTTGCATGTTTGCTTCTGACCATGCCTACAACTATCCCTGAGCTAGTCCGCAACCAAATCCCACGGGCAGATCAGTGGGTACTATAAATCAACATAATACCTTTGAGTTCTAGGGAGCAAAAAAAGCTTGCAAGGGCTGAAAACTGGGTTGTCCACTTTCAAAGCTTGTTTAAGTTGAAAAATGAAAACTGTTTCAGATAACTTGCCTTGCCTGGAAGGGCAAATCCAAATTACAGACACCCTAAACATATCACAGGACACACAAGACGATTTGGAGATTACACTGAAGAGCAGAAGCATTCCTTGCCATGCCCAACTCACAGTGCAGTGCATACATTCCCAACAGGGAACTCCCCTTTTGGAGAGTAGGACTTTTGAGTTGCAACTTGCTCTTCAACCTGTGTTCCCCAAACCTTCGACACAGGTTACCTAGGATGGTCTGCAAAGCCAAGCATGATCAACATAAATATTTATAACCTATGTGGTCATTTGAACTTACTCAAAATAACTGCATAAGTATTTCTAGGTAGTAACGTGCATGTGTTAAGTGGAAAGGAAGAATAAAGCCTACAATTAGCCCTATATTGAAAAGTGGCATTTTGTTTCACCCCAGTCACATTACTTCAGGTCTTAGAAAAGTCCTATTTTACAAATTTCAATATTGCATATTTTCTCAAGAGAGATACTGCTATTGAAGACTATCAGCTAACATTTGTCAACAGACTCTGGCAAAGTACTTCACCATTCTTTCTGAATGAGCTAGGTAAATAGTTTTTTGATTTATAGTAAAGTAAAGGGCATGGTTGGGATTTTTGTTCTTGAATTCTTTTCAAAGAAATAATTTCTTTGTGGTGCTAAAGTGTGCCAAAAACTGCCAAAAACACAGTAGTCTCTGAGATAAATCATCTGTGCAATAATGGTACACATGCCTCTTAACTGTTCAAGAAGAAATGCAGGACATATCCTGCTATCATAGGGAAGATCTTCTGTAGTCAGGAACAGGTAATGTGTGTGTTATTGGGTTTTGTGGTTTTTTTTCCTTTTTTTTTTTTTTTTTTTTTGCTTATTTCTGGGTTGGTTTTGGTTTTGTTTTGTTTGGTTCTTTTTAAAGTAATGAGCATCTAGAGCTGCTTATGGAAAAGGGGAACACCAGGCAACATACAGCCTCACCATTAGTTATCACTAGAAGATCAACTAATGTCCTAGACACTCATTTCCCTTTTCTCTGGGATCTCTCTCCCACTAATGCAACATTAATAATCTCTCCACCAACTTTCTCATCTCCTGCAAGTACCTTCAGGCTTATTGCTGTTTCTTCCAGGGGACCTGTACACCAAACTATCTCTCCCAGTTCATTTGAGACTTTGCTAAAAAAAATCCTTATGTGGCCCATCTCTTAATTTAAGCAGTGAATTGGACTGAAGTCCTTTTGAAAATACTACCGCTAGTCTTTTCATCATAAAAAAATTTGGTTTGATAGATGCTATTCCTACTGTAAAGTATTTTCCTGGTGATGTAAATAGTCCCACATCTGGCTGGTACATCCTGCAGAGTGAAAATGAAAACATTTGCACACAACCTCACTGTACCACTGCAGGAACAGTAGCCTCTAGAGAGCGCAAACACTAGAAAATACTACAGATCTCAGTTCACCCTCCAGAAGGTTCACACCATTTCTATATCCTCTACCTCCTTCCTTGCACCACATCTATGACTGTCTTCTCTTGAGTCTCGCCCCAGTCTCATCAGCACACAAATCACTCATACATCTTTGCACCTTCTCACTGACTTCCAGTGTCTACATAGGTGCTCTCCCACTATACCAGTCTACATATCAGATGAATCAGGGCTGTATTAGTTAAATATAATACATGAAATGAAACAGTAGTGGTTCAGATGTTAACATTTTCTCATAGCTCTATTATTTTTTTCTGGCATGACATTTGACAAAGCTTTCCTCATGAACTCAGAAGAAAAAGTGCTTTTTAGAATGGGGGTTTATTAATTTATAACAAAAATACTATACAAGTACAATTATTCATGTTTTTAATCCTAATTTTGAAAATCCTGCTTAAGTACATGACACAGCCATTAATTACAAACAGACTAGTGGCATCCGATGCAATTAATCTTTCAAAAAGTTACACTTATAAGGAAGGTCTGCATAAGATTCCATTCCTTGTGTGTGTGGGGGGGAGATACTGTCAGAGGAAATATTCCTACAACGGCCATCTCACTTCAGTCTCCAGGTTCTACTCTGCTTTTATCACTCCTGAGTGTAAAAGGAATTCTCTGCATCAAATCCTCCTGACAGCTGTGCTCAGCATTTCTGACTGAGCAGATCTGGATTACTCAACCATCATAATCCACGAGATTTAGTGACATGACGGATTGGACAGCAAAGACTGTTGGTGAGCTACATCTGGGAGATGTCTTGATACACTGGACTAAATCCCTGAACTGGGCTAAATTGTGTTTGGTGCAGGAACTAACAGTGATGAAAAAATGGTTTATATCATATTTGCAGCAAGCTGATCCCGAGGTCAGCCTGGCAAATGGAGTGGTCTCTCTGGCCAGCATCTGGCCAGACCTCAATCATGCTGAATTAGAGATTAATTTGTCCGAGTAACCTTAGCCAGATAAAACTATCATTTCTTTGAAGAGAGATTTTCTCTTTCTTTTTTTTTTTTTTTTAAGCCCACGATAATTCACTTGGCTTAAAGAAAACTGAGATAGAGATGAGCAACCGGGTGACGTACAGAGCCTCAGTCGGAATAATCAACAGTCTCTTTACGGCAGTACCAGCTACATAAAGTCAACACTTATCCCTCTGAGGGAGAACAAGGGAAATAAATATGCATCAGTGAAACAATAAATTCACCCTTTTTGTCATGTTATTTTGTAAATCAAGCTGCAACCAAGCTTAAACCTTGCAAATTACTTCAGTTGCTAAGGAGATCAGCAAATAATTAAGAAAAAACGCAATGATAAGCGGCAGTGCCTCTTACAGTATCGGTAACCAGTCTCCAAGCAATGAATTTCCATATCCTACGAAAGTTTAGTTGCCCAGTGTAGGATCCCCACCGCCTCCAAAATTTATCTGACGGGCTAAACTTCAGAGAAATACCCTTGCCTATGAGGTGGGGGGCTCCTGCCAGTCTCCCGACAAAGTCTGCCCGCTACAGCCCCCTGATTCTTATCGAGAGTCGACGGAGAGCAAAGTTTCGGTGAGTCCAGTGGCCGGGCATGCTAAGCATGGGACCGAGGGCACTCACAGGCATTCCGAAGGGTCTCTAACTGACTTCCCTGGGCAAGCTCGGCCACTGCCGCTCCGCTCCATGGCGGAGGTACGGACTCGGTCTCCCCCGCCCGCTGTCGGCATGCGCTCGCCCCCGTCTCTGGCGGCCCATCTCAGCCCCGGCTCCTGCCCCGC